CCAGCCCTGGGAATGGGCCCTGCCAGCCCTGGGAATGGGTTCTACCAGGCCTGGGAAGGGATGCTGTGCCAACCCTGGGAATGGTCCTGCCAGCCTTTGGAATGGCAGCCCTGGGAAGAGGTTCTACCAGCTCTGGGAATGGACGCCGTGCCAACCCTGGGAATGGGTTCTATCACCCTGGGAATGGATCCTGCCAGCCTTTGGAATGGCAGCCCTGGGAAGAGGTGCTACCAGCCCTGGGAATGGGTCCTGTCAGCCCTGGGAATGGGCCCTGCCAACCCTGGGAATGGGTTCTACCAGCCCTAGGAATGGGTTTTACCAGCCCTAGGAATGGGTTCTACCACCCCTGGGAATGGTCCTGCCAGCCTTTGGAATGGCAGCCCTGGGAAGAGGTGCTACCAGGCCTGGGAAGGGCCCTGCCAGCGGGTCCCACTGGTGACTCCCAGCCCTTGTGCTGCCCCCCTGAGCCCCCAGCCCAGCGCCAGGCCTGGGCACAGGTTGGGCAGTGCCCCCCCATCCCAGTATGGACCAGTATGGCCCAGCCCCCGCCGTACCCATGCAGTTGTTCCCTCCGTTGACCTGCATGTACTCGGGGGGGCACACGCAGGTGTAGTTGCCCAGGGTGTTGTAGCAGGTGCCAGGGCCGCAGATCCCGATGTGGGCAGAGCACTCATCAATATCTGCCAAAAACAGGGCGAGAGGGGCTCAAACCAGCGGGCACGGGGGAGAGGGCACCAGCCCAGAGAACGGATTTTCCCTGATTTTGGGGCCTTGGTACCTTCGCAGATCCGCGTGTCCTCGTTGAGGTAGTACCCGAGGGGACACTCGCACTGGAAGCTGCCGAAGGTGTTGACGCAGTTGCCGCCCTGGCACAGCCCTGGCAGCTCCTGGCACTCGTCGATGTCTGGGGAGGGAGAGCAGAGGGAGGTGTTGGCTTGCCTGGCACCCCAGAGGGTCCATCCCAACACCTCTTGGAGCAGGAGCTCATCCCAGGAGAGCACATCCAAACTGTGTCCAGTTCTGGGCCCTCAGTTCAGGAAGGACGTTGAGGGGCTGGAGCAGGTCCAGAGGAGAGCAACGAGGCTGGGGAAGGGACTGGAGCACAGGTGCTGTGAGGAGAGGCTGAGGGAGCTGGGGCTGTTCAGCCTGGAGAAGAGGAGGCTCAGGGGAGACCTCCTCACTCTCTGCAACTCCCTGACAGGAGGGGGGAGCCGGGGGGGGGTTGGTCTCTTTTCCCAGGCAACCATCAGCAAGACAAGAGGGCTCGGTCTGAAGCTGTGCCAGGGGAGGTTTAGGTTGGATATCGGGAAGAATTTCTTTGCAGAGAGGGTGCTCAGCCATTGGAATGGGCTGCCCAGGGAAGTGGGGGATTCTCCATCCCTGGAGGTTTTTAAGATGAGACTGGATGTGGCATCAGTGCCATGGGCTGGGAACCACAGCGGGGTTGGATCAAGGGTTGGATTGATGATCTCAGGGGTCCCTTCCAACCCAGCTGATTCTGTGATTCTCTGATTCAAAGGTGGGCACGCAGCAGTGCCCTCATGGGGCTGGGCTCCCCCAGGCACAGGGCACAGGATAACTCACCCTCCAGGATGACAGTGATGGGGTTGGGCCGGAATCCTTCCCCTCCAGGGCACAGGGTCTTGTACTCGGCTGCGGAAAAATCAGTCAGGGGGGTCCCGAGCTCGGGGGGAGGCTCCCAGAAACAGGAGAGGGAGGGAGAAGTGGGAGAAACCCCGGAAAAACAGGCCATGGGGGTGGTGATGGTGGCAGAGGGAGCAGCCTGACTTCCACAGCCTGCCAAACCAAATTATCCATCCTGGCTCTGCCTGCCCGCTGGAATAACAGGGATATTCCACATCCCCCACCAGACTAGGGATGAAGGATCCCAACCTGAATCCCACAAGGCACAACCAGACAGGTCTCCCCCACCCCACTTCACCCCTCCCCTGCCCTGCCTGGCCCTGCACAGGGTTGCCTCCCTCTCCCTCAGCTTCCCTTGCTCCATTGTGATGGTGGAGCAGCAAATCCAGGACCCAGGACCCCCAACCTGAGCTGAGAATCCATAGGGAAGCATCCCTGTCTCCCTTCCCTGCTGTCCATCCATCCCATTCCCGAGTTCCCCCCAGGCATTGCCCAACTCACTGGTGTTGGCTGGAGGGCACAGCTCGCAGGGGTTGCCCCAGGCACGGCCCAGGGAGCAGCAGCAGGAGGCCCGAGTGACCCCGACTCCGATCTCTGCACTGCAGGAGATCCCCCCATCTCCTCGATCCTGGGTGTCCAGGAAGCAATTCCCGACACGGGTGTCTGCACAGAGACAGTGGTGGGTGAGCAGAGCCCCTCCAGGAAACTTTGTGTGCACGGGAGGAACAGAATCATGGGATCCCAGACTGGTTTGGGCTGGGAGGACCTTGAAGGTTATGGAGTTCACCCCCTGCCATGGGAAGGGACACCTTCCACCAGCTCAGGTTGCTCCAAGCCCCATCCAACCTGGCCTTGGACACTTCCAGGGAATAAGAACAGCCCCAGAGCTGCCCTGGAATAACTTCTTCAAGAAGCAGAGCACCCACATGGGTGACACAAGGTGGGCCAGGCCCAACAGGAGATGGCTCCTTTTCTTCTGGTGGTCAGCCAGCCTGGTAGTGGCCAGTTCCAGCTCTGAGGGACCACCAAGAAGGCCCCCCAAGGTGCTCTCCATGCAGGTCCCCACTCACCCACACAGCCCACCCCGGTGGGGTTCAGCTCGAAGTCCTGGGGGCAGTTGCACAAGTAGCTGCCGGGGGTGTTGACGCAGAGCCCGTTGATGCAGTTCACAGGGTCTGCACATTCATTGATGTCTGAAAGGATGGAAGGGTGCAGAGTGAAAAACAGGGTGAAGATTGGCACAGAAACCACAGCCCCGAGCTCTGTTGGTGGACTGCCACACCGTGGGGTTCCTAAGATGGTCATGGGATGGTCACCAAAGCCCTTCTAGAAACAGGCCTTGCCTTGTCCCACCTCCCACCACCCTCCCAGAGGCAGCAGAAAGGAGCAGAGCCACACCGAGCTGTCCCTCCTGTCCCCCTTCCAGTGTCCCACAGGGACACTGAGCTGGCTTTAGGCTGCTGGTGCCACCCCCAGCAGACCCCAGAGCAGTGCCCCTCTCCCAGCAGCCCTGACCTGTGCAGTTGCCTCCACTCCTGTCCAGCTCATATCCATCGTCGCAGGCACAGCGGAACATCCCGGGCAGGTTCTGGCAGGTGCCAAAGACACAGATGTTCTGGAAGGTGCACTCATCGATGTCTGCAAAAACAGGCAGAGCTGGGCACTCAGGGTGTGCCAGAGGTAGGGCCAGCACAGGATTCTCCTGTCCCACCACGGCCCTGCTGTGGGTGACCCACCTCAGGATGGCTTTGGTGCCATGGGAGACCACCTCCTGGGTGAGCAGGACCACTCTTAGTGCCCTCTCCTCTCACCCCATGCCCACATTTTGCAGGAATGTTGCAT